GCAAGGCCTTTTCAGGGGAGAGGAGGTGCTAAGAGAGAGTCATCCAATGATAGCTGTACTACAGCCAGAACTACAAGTCTCAATGCCATCTGCTTGGCACCGACAGAGAAGACTTTAAGATAAAGCTTAATCCAAAATGAATAAAGTCCTAAATAACTTGTAGTGTCATAGAAAAATGCATATGAACAGGGATAAAAAAGGAGCTGTTATTTATTTTAAAATAAAGGTAACCTAAACTGAATAACGAAAAGCACTGCATATAATAAACAAAAAAATGAAAAAGAAAAAAGCACACTATTTAGACCTTTTTATCCTTTGTGGTATATCAACATGCTAATCTCCTTGCAGTCACTGCCTGCCACACGCAAATGAAAAAACTGCTGCACAGCATTTCTCAGGGTGCGATTTCTGATGGTGACTACAGCAGACCCATACTTATGTAGTGTGCATCCATGTGCATAGTAGTCTCCATTGGAAAAGCATGTGAAGGGGTGCCAGTCACTTGTAGTCTCCACTAGGAAAGCATGTTACAGGGTGGCAGCAGTTTCTAGCCTCTATTCGGGAACATGTGACAGGATGACAATGCAGGAACACAAACTGGCAGGCAGGGATAGGCTGTTGTCACTCTGTAACAGGAATTGTCTGATAAAGGACATTCAATGGCAGGATCACCAAGTATTCATTTAGGCTAGGTTCACATAGATGCGGTGTGATTTTCCTGCCAGTTTCAATGCGATTTCAAATAGTATTTGTTCAGTGATTTAGGTGCGACTCTGATGCGATTTGGCAGCATTATCAGTCAGTCTCTCTCTCTGTCACTCTCCTGACATGGACCAGGAATAGAGATAAGGAACAGAGCAAAGACTTGCAGAAAACATATTGGATTCGTGTTATCTTAGAACAGATGCAATAAGTGATTTCCATTCAAGTCTACAAATTGTACCGCACTGCACTAAACTCACACAGGACCCTGCATTAAAACTGCATTAGAATCACATTGGATATATGTGAATCACCTCTATAGAAACTCTTTTTATTTCACTTGTCATACGATTCCATGAGTTCTGAAATGCATCAGAATCACATCAATGTGAACTAGGGCTTAATGAAAGCTGCAGATTTAAAAATATTAAATATAACTTTTTAAATTGCATGACTGTGAATTTTTTTTTATGATTATACAGAATGAATTGTTAACTATACTTAATCAGCCTATGAACAGATATCTCAACCACCGCTGATGTACTGGAAACGTTTCCGTATACTTCTTATACTGCGGAATGTCCTAGATTAGATGAAAGGTATAAATATTGCTGAGCATCAATGAGAGTCTGATAGTGTCATTTAGCAGAAACGTTCTCAGTACATAGCATTTTCAGTTGACTTGGACAGTCCCCTGATTCGCTTTAATGTATATATACATATAATTAGTAATACATTCAAATGCAAATTACCACATCAGGGTGATAAAAAGCTTTTCAAATCTATGATCCTCTCAGTTGAGAAAAAAAATGTAGTTGGCATTGGACCAGCCTTTCTCAGCGTTTTTGACATAGTAGAGCCCTTAGGTCGCACAGGCACTGAGACCCATAGACCATGAATAGGTCATGTGTTTATGCAGCTGGAGCCTCAATTTGCTGTGAGCAGAAAGCCCGTTTATGTGTATGGAAATAAAGTGGCTGCTCATCCTAATTTGACAAGAGAGCTGATAAGTGGCCCCAAATCCAAGCAGCATGTATTTGTTTGTGGTGGTTCATCTGCACTCACACGCCTATCCTATTAGGATGAGCTGATGTGTTTGTGCTGCAGCCACTCTGCCCCCATACACTTACATTGTTTGCCTGCACTGCAGCACCTGACAGCTCAAGCCATGAAAACACATCCATGGTCTATGGACTTCAGTACCCATATGAATGAAGCCTAGGGATGAGAAAGGCTGGTATAGTGCCAGCTCCACATTTTTTGAATTTTGAATTCTTAGAATTCTCTAAGATGAGATCATACACATGAAAAATTCACAGTCTGAGGGCCTCAGCACCCATGTGAATGAGGCCTTAAAATAGCTTTCAGGTCTCAGGCAACTCCTATTAATAATTACTATATCTACAGCTCATTGTACAATGGTGTGAAGAATAAGCTGAGATATAAGAATATATAAAAGAATAAAGAATGTGGCATACTTAGCGTGTTTGACACCTAGGGCTGCACTATAACACATTATTTTCAGTAATAACAACGAAATTAAATGAACAGTTAATAATTGCCAGAGAAGAAATACACACAGTGAAACAGATAGTGTTTTATATTATGTATGCTAAATGGAGAAGATCCTTTTATTGATAACAAGTGGAAAAGTGTCACCTTATGTTAGTGGTCATTGTAGTGCCTCCTCATCTTAGTGGCAATTGAAATGTTCGCATCAAATGGTGGTCAGTGAAGAGGAGCCCCTTATATTGGTGGTCAGTGAAGAAAGTCCCCTTATATTGGTGGTCAGTGAAGAAAGTCCCCTTATATTGGTGGTCAGTGAAGAGAAGCCCCCTTATATTGGTGGTCAGTGAAGAGAAGCCCCCTTATATTTGTGGTCAGTGAAGAAAATCCCCTTATATTGGTGGTCAGTGAAGAAAATCCCCTTATATTGGTGGTCAGTGAAGAGAATCCCCCTTATATTGGTGGTTATTGAAGAGGAGCCCCCTTATATTGGTAGTCAGTGGGAGAAGAGCTCTCATAAATTGATGCGCAATGGGTGAAGGGTCTATTACACTGGTGATCAAAGGAAAGAATGTTCCCTACATTTGTGGTCAGTGGCCCCTTACAGATAACAAAAAAGATAATTTGGTTACTTATCTGTAAGACAGAGATTGCTCATTGTTAAAGGAACTGCTAGCAACTTCTGGAAGAACCCTAAGGTTCCAAGGAGCCCTGGTTGAGAATGGTTGCATCAGACACTGATCAAAAAAAGAGTGAACATTCCATCTTTAATGGGTAGACACCAGGGGCGGACTGACAACTCATGGGGCCCCCGGGCAATAGGGGATCATGGGGCCCCTGTGTCCTTGCCCAAACTAAAAAAAGCCTATGAAAAAGGTACCAGGGGCATCTCATGGGGGACAACTCATGGGGTCCCCCGGGCAAAAGGGGATCCTGGTGCCCCTGTGTCCTTGCCCAAACTCAAAAAAGCCTATGAAAAAGGTACCAGGGGCATCGCATAGGGCCCCCTACTGACCCCGGGCCCTCGGGCAGTGCCCGAGTTTCCAAATGGTCAGTCCGCCCCTGGCAGACACCCTACTTATGTAAGAAAAAAAAAGGAAATGTGTAGGTGAAAGGCCACATAATGTATTGCTTTCCCATGACACCCTCTGTGTACACATTGCTGCATCTTTGACAGCATCTAAACCCTCTACACTGAGATGACCTTAGCATTTCTCGGGTTAGTTCATGAGATCAGAATGGATACCGTTGTGCTTATTGGAGATCTTCTTTCATATTTATATAATTTTAATGTGATTAACAAGAGTGTAGGTTCTGCACATTTTCTAAAACATGTGCACTTGTGTTTCCTACTTATTTTACTCTTTCCTGCTATGTATACATAATCTGCTGTGCCTGGTACTGTGTTCTACAAGTAACAGGTGCTAATCTTCTAGTCTTGTGTTGTAAATTTCTCCAGCACCACAGGCAGCATGTCCACAGAGTGCAGTATAAATCAGCCTTCTGTGCTGTCCATGGTGCTGAAATTACTATTACACTAAAACTGCACTAAATGACTATACTGTGTAACAGCCATTATTCAGCAAAGTGTCTGAAGAAAGAATCGTATCTGCTGCCTACAGCAACCAATCAAATTGTCCCAGTTATTGTGTAAAGCTGCATTATTACTAAAAGGATGAATCTGAATGGTTCTAACAGGCAACAGCTCAGAAGTTATCCACAATGCCTTTTTATGTATAAATATAACTATTTGTTATATTTGATCAGTTGCTATATTTTATATTCTTTATATAATATTGTTTTATTATTATAATGTTCAGTACATCCAAATGTGATATTTATTTTTGTGACTTAAATGTGATATTTATTTGTGTGAATTCTGAAAATTAAAATCCCCTTATGTTTTCCTCTGTTTGTTAGGGAGTTTCTAATTGGAATACCTAATTTTTATATTAGGGATAAGCTTATTGTTTGACCCAAACCCAGCCTGTTTGAGTTTCTATGAATCACCACTTGATATAATTGGCCATTTCACCTTCCCAAATAGTTGCCTGCCAGAAGGTAAGCAAAGCATCTGAGTATCTCATGCAACATCATTAACTGAATATGGTCAGGAGATACACAAATATTGCAATGAAAATGCTAAAAAAAGGAAAAAACATAAACACAAAAAATACCAAATGAAATAAACTATTCTAAATATCCTTCCCCAGTACCCTCTAAATAAACAAAAAAGTAGATTTTATTCAAGTAAAATTTGTGTAACCTCCCTAGCGGTCTGATTATGTCAGTATTTCTGTGCTCAAAGCGGTACATTTTTTTGCAAGGAAATATGTTGTTTTTTTATTGTAGGCCTATAATTTTTAGGAATAACTCACTGAAATCTGTCTGAACAAGAGTCTAGTAAACATCCTGGGTATGTTAAAATTTGAAACACGAAATCATAAACTATAATTTAATAATTAATCATAAAAAAAATATAATAATAATACATTTAATTCAATAATATAATCAAACTAAAAACACTGAAATTTGAAATATAGCACCAAGTTCGCACATCACTGAGCAAAGTCGCAAAATCGTTTTCAGTGTCTGATGATGAATTTTCCCACAAAATCATTATTACTCAATTCTGCAAGTAGTTCTGATTTACTATCGCTGTTCTCTAGCCGGTCTAAAACCACTTTTGACCTAAAGGGACGCTTTTTGGACGCCATGGACTATTCTCAGTTTCCAGACAGAAAGAACAGTAAAAATGCAGGCAGGACAATGGACAAAGCACTCGGGACAAAATGTATGAAATGCTTTAATACAGTAATGTTTTACTATGTGATTTTAGTGTATTTAGTGAATGTCACTTTTTCACATTTTTAAATTTCCCGCCGTTCCGTTTCCGTACGTCCCGACGTTGCAGGGAACGGAACCCAGAAGACAGATGCCGGCATCGGCCGGAGGACATTGCCGGGGACACTGCACGAGGGACATCGCAGGAGCGCAGGACAAGGTAAGAGAAGAGATCCCGGAGCAATGCTGCAAGGTATTCCCGAGTGTAGCTCGGGGTTACCGCTTGTGGTGCTGAAACTTTACCCCGAGCTACACTCGGGAATACCGCCAGGGAGGTTAAGCTGCTTAATGAGCTAAACTCAACTGTTCAATGGCAAAATTGGCATTTTGCTGAAATCGCCCTGCTCATTCCTAGGCATTATTGCTAAATTATCAGTCATCATATCCTTTATGTCATGTTGTTAGGTTGGAATATTATATTTTAAGTTAATAAACTTTATATTTATTGATTTGTAATCAATTTAAAAAGGTTCTAAAGTCACAAGGTGACCAAGGTTAATGCATTACCAGAATTAAGTTAAAAAAAACCTGTCACTAAATGTTTGCTCCCCCCTAACCTAAATACTTACCTGTGTCCAGTATCGATTCAGTGTTGTGCCAGTCTTCAGCAGTGCTGTTCTTTTACCCTGGTCTCACAGAACAGATTGATAGCATTCGGGAGCCATTGACTCCTGCTGCTGTCAATCAAATCCAGTGAGGAGGGAGCCAGGGCGGGACAGAGCCACAGTGTGTGTATTTATGGATTGGGAGCGAGCCTGCAGATCTCCCTCTATAAAAGCAGAAGAGGTGGAGCCAAGAGTGCTGGTAAGGGACCTTAGAAGAGGAGTTTTTTTGGACCATTATGTGCAATATCAGTGCACAAAGCAGGTAAGTATAACATCTTTTTTTGGGTAAAAAGGGAAGCCTTTAGAATCACTTTACAAGAGAAGTGTGAGTTTTTAAAAAAAAAATCAATCATACTCACCTAAGTGGCTGCTGCATAAATCTTATGCTGCATCTGTCCACCCTGACCTCTCTACAGAGAACTGAGCAGTAGAACAGCATGAATTGCTCACTTCTCAGTCTTAAGTGAGTGCATGCTGGTAACTATCAGTCACCGGCTCTCTGCTCTTCCCCTCCAGCACTCACTGGAACTCTGAACTGTGGAGGGGATGGAGCAGCTGTTAGTGGCTCACTGAGAGACTGAGCCAGCTGCTGGTCCAAACATCTAGGTGGATCCAGATATTAAAGTTGGGATCTCTCCAGAGTCTGGACAGTCACAGTGACATCAGTTGGCTGCAAGCTTTAGCCTGCTAATGGCTAAATATGGGTCACAGGAATGGAGAATGAAGTGCACTTCTGTGATCCCCAGGAGGAGTAGGGCCAAATGAGCTTTGGCCCTACTTCTCCTTTAATTTATCAACCTTTTTAAGGGTCAGCACCACCCAAAGCTGAAATCTCAGCTGCCATGAGCGAGTTGTTCAGTTTTTGATTTTCTACATTTCTCAGGGAATTCAGTGCTGAGATCTTTCTATTGTGGTGTATTTTCTCTCTCCTATAAGGATATAATGAAACCATGAAACACTTGGCTTACATTTCACCAGTTTAAATACTAGACTTGAATATAAAGATTCTCTTAGTCATCCGGATTAAACAGGTATAGCAGCCTAATACAGGAATTGGATGCCAAGGTGAAAATTAGAGCCACATGTTTGTACTTTGGTTATTGTAGGACATGAGGGTTCTGGGTGCAGGTGGTGAGATTATATACTTTGGCCAAAATGCAAAATAATAACTCATGATTTCTGTGTTTTTGGGATTACTGTTTATGCCTTCCAGCCCACCTGCATAATGAGCAGTACAGGTGGGTGTAATAGGCTGTGTTCAAGAACAGAGGGAATCATAATTAAATATGCCTTTTGTATTTTGAATGTTTGCTGTAGCTAGTAAGGTGGTCATTTAACAAAGTTGATCAAAAATGCAAGAGGCGCCTTTTTTAATAGTAATTTTGATGCCTGTCAGGAAGTTTGGCGTGGATGGAGGAATCAGATATTTCTAGTTCAATACATGGGCTGGACGAGAAAAATCTATACATCTATGATAAGCCTTACAAATGAATTTCTGAGGACTGCAGGGAGAATAAATACACCAGGCTTATTGCCCAAGCTACTATCTGAACCTGTTTTTTTTGCAATTTGCAAAGTATCAGTGTACTTAAAATATTTTATAGAAAAAGAACATTGATATGTTATAATTAAAATTTAATGGATGGAATCAATGTTATTACACAGTACTGAAAAAGTGAGAAAAACCGTTTAAACACACTTGAAGTTGTATCTACCCGAGAACTTGCATGATGAAAGTGGAAGTTTTTTTTAGAAATATCGGTATATGCAGAACATTATGTATATAACATTACGGCAAACTTCTCATGGTCACCAAAAAAATATATATAGATTCATTTAATCTACGCTAAACAACTTGTTGAATTTACATCTATGCTAAAAAAATAGGTGAACTTACGAGTTACATTTCACAAAGAAAGTAATAATATTAATAACATATATAGTCATATATTTAAAGTGGACCTTTCATTAGTGTAAAACTAGCAAACTGGCAGCACAAATAGAAGGAAGACACCTAGAGCTCCTGCAGTGAGTTTCCTATACGTTGCAGAGTCCTGGCAGCCACAAAACCAAGGGCCATTCCTTTCCACTCCTCTCTGCTGGTCAATGAGGCTGTCCATCACAATAAGGCCTCATTCACACAGGTGTACTTAAGGATTTACATGATTGTGTCATCTTTGAGCCAGCATTCCAGTACAGAAAGTAAATGCTGACCCTGGATGATGCCTTAACAAAGATGTCTGTATCCTTCTGAAGATGTATATATAGGCATTTTCTGGAGGAGTACTATAAACTCTGCAAGGGGTAATAAATTCTGGGAGCATTACACTTCACATACTACTAAACATACATACACTAAAAAAAAAATATCAATTGTTAACCCTACAATAATATTGCAGTGAAATGCATTAATGCTAGAGAGGAGAAATAGATGGTAAAGGATGAAGAAAGGTTGATTTTGAAGAATTGTCTAGTCTAGATAATCTCCCTGATTGATAAAAGTGATATTAAACCTTCATATTCTGTAATATAATTTTATACTAATATACTCTAGTAATGTAATAAATAAAATATAATATAATTATAATTAAAATATAATTATATGATAATAATTATATACTATAATATACCAAACTAAAAATTCGCCAGTACATTAATTAGTTCATATATTGCCCACCACTTACATGTTTGCCATAAGTTTCATGGCGGTGGCTCCAGATCCCTAAGTGCAGCTTCCACAAACTTTCTGTTGGGGAGAGTGCAGATGATGTCACAACAGACCATCTATTGGCTTTGAAAAGGGAAGAGGTAGGTGTAGGGGAGTGGCTTGCCATACTAAGACTTCGGGGCTGTGTGTTTGTGTTGACACACACACCTACCAGCTGGGACTGCATGCATAATAAAATAATGGACTAAAAGCAATTACACATTGTACAGTGGATGTTGCAATGCAATACATATAGGCAACAAGGCTTTTCTAGGGGATCATTTCCACAATCTAAAGTCATACTAGCAGAGAGTTTTAGCCTGCAACATGAGCCTGCCACTGAACTCTTATATCTTCAGATCTGACATACTGTTCAGAATTCCTCCTTATATCTCTGAACAACATTATTGAGAGCTCTATATAGATCAATTTGCATTCAGGCTTATTGGAATAAACTCATATTTTCGTGCATTTTTAATAAAAGATTGATGTAACAAATTATATCAAAGCTGACCACATTTGTAAAAAAAAACTATAGACATTGTTTCCTGGCAAATTGGCATTTTTTTTCCAACCACAATGCCACTTATTGTAAATTATAGTCTAGCTACACTACCTATACTGACAGTTTGAATAAGTGTACGTAGAGTATTTATCCTTTCAGAGAATAAAGAGAAAATAGTTTCCACTCTCAGCAGTTTTGCAAGAAGAAACATCTGACTGCGGTAAGGGTTAATGCCTTAATTGGCACAGGTACAGCTGAAATGGTGTTCTAGCAAATGTTATTGCAATGGTTTTGAAATATGTAGCTGGCATCATCAAACATTTATAGATGCTTACCGTCAGTCTTTGGAAGCGATCCAACATTTATAACTGGTAAAAAAAAATGCTGGTTATCAATTAATTCATTGGTCAAATTATCTCACAAAGTTTATGTTCAACGAAGTCTATAGTCTATTCTTAAAGTATTAGATCCACATGCTGTTGAACCAAATTTTGGAACCAATGTTGCCTAATATCACTTATTGCTTATGCTCTTTTATGTGTGTCTCTGCATTTACTAATTAACTAAGCACCTTTCAAGCTGACTGCACTAATGGAACTAACTTTCTGGACTACAAATACCCAGGGAACTCTAGTCTGTGGGCCCAGCATTTTGCACCTTTGGTCTATATAATAAATTCTTAATTCTTGTCATTTCATGAGCCACATTATGACATAACATGTGAATACCTTACATTTAAAAGAGAAGTTTTGGAATTATACTCACCTAGGAGGATGCAGCATATGTCCCCTGCCGCCTCTAACACCAAGAACTGAGTGATCAAACATACTGATCACTCAGTTCTTGGTCTTCAGTGAGCAGAGAGCCAATGACTGTCAGTCACTCACTGAAGCGCCAGGCTGTGGAGGGGACAGGAGAGACTGGCTCAGTTTCCCAGCGCCCCGCTGAGAGGATGAGTTAACTGAAATCTGGGTAGATCCTGACATTAAAGTCAGGATCTATACAGATCCTGGGCCTGCTGAGTGATGTCATTTGACAGTGGATTTTAGTCTCTGCTGTTGCCTGAAAATGGGTTGCAGGAGTGCAGAACGAAGTGCACTTCTGTGTCCCACAGAAGAAGTAGGGCCAAAAGAGCTTTGACCCTAATTCTCATTTAAACCTGAACTTGTAGCAAATATACAAACAAAAATGGATACAGAAAGTGCCTGGTCATTGTGGTGATTGTTTTTTTTCCACACTGTAAAAATGTCAATCACTGCTAGGACACATAAAAACAATTACTTTCTATGTTGCACTTCAACAGAGCCCTGAGTTTACTGAACTACGATAAAATGCAGACATGGTGCATTTTAATGTGGGGCACAGGGAGGCTGCTGTAATGTGACATGAATGTAGTGTCACTTTGTGCACTACACATAAAGTTTACAAAAAAAGGGGGAACTGAGTGATGCTTTAAAAACATGCATCACACAGCCCCCTACTGCTGGTTTTATAGTAGCCAAATCTGCTCTGGTTTAGTGTGCAGGTAGAGACACAGGCCCTTAGTATCTATAACATTGGGGGACAATTAGGTGTGCTGTTGTGTCATGTGCTAACAAGACGAGCGAGCAGAGGCATGATCTCATCAGTCTGTTGCTTCTCCCTTAGGGACATATTTACTAAAACTGGGGCACTCGGAATCTGGTGCAGCTGTTCATGG